ATGTTGCTTTCAGACACACACCATAACTTTGCCTTCTGAAGTTTTGCCTCAGAGTGACACCTATCGGAATCCCGACATCGAGCCATGAGCGAAGCATCTCTTCCGACCAACACAGTGACTACAGATTCGCCACCCGTCGATGAGTCACGACGTGAAGCTCTCTCCGCGGCCCTCATGGAGATTTTGACACAGCATCGGGACTATGATTCCGAAACTGGAAGTGAACCTTCCACATTCAGTGACGAGGCTCTACGCGACCAATTAGCTGAGTTTATTCTGCAAACAACCCGGCAGATCACAGAGCTAAAGCAACGAGTGGAAAGACTCGAAGCTTCGCAACAATAGGTGATCAACCATGTTCATACCACCATCGGGTGCTTCGCAGAGGACGGTAAAAACAACGATTGTCGTTGTTGCCAACTGTGACAGTCACTGCACTCACTTCACATATGTTTGGCATGCAGCGATTGATGCACTTTTTCCCGCAGCATTTTGCAAAACAACCAGTTGTGTTAGCACCATGGAACAACGCACCAGATCGCGATCTCCCACGGCATCACAATGGAGATGGCATTGGGCCACTAACGGCTCTTCATGGTGGCGGGAGTACTTTATCGCATCTCAAGAGTGGATACGAAAGCATGCGGAGCAACCTGATCAGCGTCCGACATCAACGCCTCCGACCCAAAAGGAGACAGTATCTACTACATCAACTCCTACATCCAACAAGAGAAAGCGGTCAAGAACTCCGTGAGCAACATTGCTGAGTTGACAATTAGATGCACATTTGCTGCCCCTGGCAGCCAACAACCACACAGCAAAGCTGTGCTGCGAACTCCATCATCCCTGATGAGGTTCAACATTAAGAGCACCATGTTGAAAGGTCATGCCGGTCGGTGAGGTTGCTCAAGTGATGTATCTTTGTACATCTCTCTCTCTCTTCTGAAGATCAGCGTATGCACACGCCTTAATGCAGTTGTGACTCCGCAGCCATTTCTCAGAACTACAGTTGTTGAAACATATTTAGGATCGCACACAGATGGACGAGGACGACGACAGCAGCCTATGGGGATCCGAAGAGATTGATGCCTTCCTGAGGAAGGATGACACCACCACATCCTCCCATGCAGTCAGTCACACACACAAGCAAAAAACAAAGCACACAACGAAGACAAAAAAGAAGAAAGACAACAAAGACAAAAAGGACAAAACAAGTTAAAAGAATACGACCCCAGAGGCCCAGCAGAGCATAGGTTCAGAGGCCCCAAGCTTAAGTAAGCAGAGGGCATGTTTCACTTGACTATGGACGCCACTTTGGCTCAAGATAAAAAGGGGCTTTGCAGTTAGATGCCCTGGTTCTTTAGAGGGTTGGCCGGGTTTAAGTACCTTCCTTCCCTCTTGATTGGTTATCAGCCGTAGCTCTTTTGGTTTCTTTGGTTTCCTACTTGAACCCGGCCGCAGGGTTTTAGTGGTTCTCCCTCGCCATAGCAAGAGCGCAGCCTTAGGCGCGCTGGCAGGGCAGAGTGCTAGTGGGGTGCTGCCTTGTGCGCACCGGCTAGCATATGCCTCCGAAGCGAGACGGACAGCCGGCTGGAGAAAAGCCTTATCGAGGCGGCCGGGCTGGATCCAAGAGGAGAAAGCTCCACTTTTACCAAGCGCAGGACGCTCTGATCCACCTTGCTGAGACGGTACAGAATATTATTGTGCAGCGTCGCGAGTTTGAAGGCATCTCGGACGCACACTACGATACTGTCATCAGGTTTGGTCAGATCACCGAACAGGTGGACGTATATCATCCTGTTTGGGCCGACTTGGTCGAGTACTACCCGGAGCTGTGGACGGCGTTTGCAGACGTCACAGCTGAACCGGCGACTGGGTCGGGAGCGCGCTGGAGGCCGAAGGCAGCAGCCAAGGCGGAGGCCGCCGGAACAGGGGGTGCAGCTAGCAGCGCACCGCAGGAGGAGGAGCAGCCGGCCGCAGCGTCAGCAGCAGCGCCCGCCGAGGGTGCAGCCGCGAGCGCACCGGCGCGGCCACCGACACCTCCGAAAGCACCGGCCCTTGGAATAAGGGGACCCACGCGGGACCTTTACTACAGGGGCCGGAGCGACCCACTCAGGCGGAGAAGTGTGCCAGCAGAAGCAGAAGAGACAATCGAAGATTCTGGCGCACGTCCTTCATCCGAGCCACCTGCAGCCGAAGGCGAGGTAGACCTCACAAGTGCTGGCGGCAACCCGCCCGAGGATTCTTTGCGTGCTTCCCGGCGTGTGCGCACACCGCCGTCGAGAAGAACACAGGAGGAGTTACGCTTGGAAGAGCTTAGGCTTCGCGGCTCGGTGTTTGCCTCTTTTAGGGACGCCGAAGACGCGGAGCCCGAGCAGGGCGACCACCAGCAGGAGGCCACCGACGGGCAGGAGACCGAGGAGGTCGAGGTCGAAGTTGCCGTGGAAGACGACGGGGGTGCTGCCACAGGCGCACCGGACGACGCCCAGGCAGCAGAAGGCCGTGAGGCAGAAGGCGCCGAGGAGGAAGAAGCAGGAGAAGAAGACCCAACCGTTGAAGGGGTCCCTGCAGAATCAGACGCGACAGTGTCACCTGTTCCCTCGGAAGCCGCAGCCCCGACCAGAGAAGTGCGCGTGAGTGTGGGCCGCGGCCGGGGTGTGACCCGAAGGCCGCTTATCCTGGCACCCGCCACCGAGACTTTCCCCACAGTTCGGGTTGATAGTCAGGGTGCTTGGGTTAGGGTTAGGGATCCTAGTGCAGTTCCCTCCTTTCAGCGTCGTGCCGTGCCCCCCCCGAGGGTGCAGCGCACCGCGCACCAAGGGGACGCAGAAGAAGCACTTAGTGCACCTGATCCGTTTGATTTGCCCAACGACGCGTGGATCGACCCACATTCTTACCGGGAGGCCTATACAGCTAGTGGGGTTCCTAGGGGTGTGTCCGTAGCGCGCATAGACACCAGCTCAGAAGAGGAAGGTAGGCAGCGGGGTGCTGCCTCAGGCGCACCGGCAACACCCAGGGCACCACCACAGAGAAGGCCGTTCCGACAGGGTGAGATCGTGGAGGCTGAGGTGGAAGAGACAGCGACCTTGAGACGGCGACCCGCGACTCCGGAGGGAGAGCCTCCAACGAGGCGCCCCCGCGTTGTCTTGACCCCAGCGTCCAAGGCATCAAGCGTCCCCGCCACAGCCAGCGCACCGTTGAGGGTGACGCGCCCGCCTCCAAAGGCCAGGCCCAGGACCGCAGGCGAAGGCACAAGCACAGGCACAGGTCAGGCCAAGAGAGGTGCAAAGGCAGAGCCCATAGAAGCCGTCGAGGAAGCAGGGCCCAGAGAGCGCACAAGGACCCCGCGCCGACCAGAAGCAGCTCCCCCAAAGGGTGCTGCCCAGGCGCACCGGGGTCGAGGGCGCAGCGGGTCCTGGCCGCCCAAGCGGCAAGCATCTTCTTCACCAGAGGGTGCGGTTTCTGAGGGTGACTCCCCAAGGTCACGTGCACCGGTGACCAAGGAGAGCCTGCCAAAGGCGCGGCAGTCGCAGCCAAAGCTGCCCTCGAAGGTGCCACCCACAGATAGGCACGGGGTAAAGTATAAGTCCCCTCCTGTGCCGGCGCCACCCGCGCCAAAGGGGACGGCAGCAAAGGCGGTGTTCAAGGGCCCGCCGCACGCTGTGTTTGTGGCTAGCATCACCAGAGGTGGCCAGGAGCAGCCCAAAGCAACTTCCAAGGCTCCGCCGCCGATTGTCACCGGCAACCGCCAGAAGCTAGCTTATCACGCGTGGGCACAGCAGGCTAGAGACGAGGAGAACGCCCAGGCCGCAGCTTCAAGCGCGGCAGCTGCCAGTGCTTCCTCGCAAAGGGTGCTTGCTTCGCGCACCGAGGCCACGATTGTCTTCGACTGGCACCACGTCTTAGACAAGGCCTGGATCGAGTCCACAGGAGCTACCTGGGAGACCCGCCGTGGCTCCCACGGATATTTCAACCTTGAGTTTGTGGACGCGCTCAAAGCATTCTGCGAGGAGCATAAGCCACTCCGATTGGCAATTTTGAGCTATAGCACACCCTCTTCAGCGGCGTGGTATCGTCATCATTTCCTCGAAGAGGCCCTAGAGTGCTTGCGTTTGGTGTTGCCGCTGAGCATCAACCTCAGCATCGGCCAAACATATCAGCGCACTGGCCCCGACGGGAAGGCACAACAGTTGTGCCAGATAGAGCCGCCAGCAAGTCTCATTATTGACGACAATCGCGGCATTATAAAAGAGTGCGCGAAGACAGGCGCGCTCACTGTGCAGGCGCAGAAGGGTGGCGGCGTCGACCAGCTGATCTTCGAGCTCAACCAGGCAAGCGCGTTGATCAAGCGAACGGGGCGCAACAACCTCCCAAAGGCTCGCCACCTGGAGCCCCGCGAGCTCCTTTACGAGAGGTAGCGCCCCAGGGTGCTGCCATTGGCGCACCGGGCCGGCTCACCCAGCCTGCGTGTCGCCACCGCCTGCTCCTCTCGCGGCGCCCTAGGGTGCTGCTCCAAGCGCACCGGGCCACCTTAGTGGTTTAGTGCCTTGGGTTTTTGTAGCATAGGGGTCGCAAACGTCAGCCCCATCCTCTCGGGCCGCCGCCGCCGCACGACACCATCCCTTGCAGCGCCCTAGGGTGCTGCCTGTGGCGCACCGGGCCGGGTAACAGGTCTAGGGTGCATTTGGGTTCTAGTGCTGGGTGGTGGTCCCTAGAGACAGTGTATCATACTTTTGCCTTTGTGTGTGTGCTGCCTTTTGCGCATAGCCGTCGGCACACACCTTCTTTCAAGACACTTGGTCCCCGAACGGGCCGACCATCGCGAGCATCAGTCACAAAAGTCTTTTCGAGAGTGGTTGCGTGAGGGGTCCTGTTTTCTTGCCCCCTCCCCTTTTGCCCTAAGGTTCTTTTGGGGATTCTTTCGGGTCCCGGCCGATAGGCGGTTTTCGTAGACAGGGTGTTGTTTGGGCTCAAAGGCTCAAGCTTCAGGAGGTGAAGCCATGTCAGGCATCTCCCCACCATCAGAAGACCGAAGCCGAAGCCGAGCATCCGGGGAATCCTCCTTTAGCGACCCAGAGCTTTTTAGCGGCCAGGCCTTGGTGCCAGCTGCGGCAACCATTCTTAGGATTAACCAACCTACCCCCGCACCACAAAGGAGTGAAGGGTATAGCTCGTCCTCCGCGGCGTCTCCCCCACAAAGGGGTCCCGAACTTAGCGCAACACAAGCCACCTTTATTGCAGGTGCCGCCGTGACACACGCCCACCACGCCTCCGGCGTTGCCTTGGGTGCTGCGTCCCTCGCGCACCAGGCTGCAGAAAGGGAACAGCAAACAGTTGCTCAAGCAAGGGAGGCTGTAATGCAAGCAGGCTTCCAAGCTGCAGCGGCCGAGGCACAGTACCGCGACGAGGCCCAGTCGATCGCACGAGCTGCGCAGGGTATCGTGGATGATGCTAGGTTTCGAGAAGCCAGCCTTAGGCAAGAAGCCCAATCTGCCATTGACGCCACCAATCGTGAGGCTCAACAACGGGTCTCGGTGATTCAAGGTGAGGCCCAGCAAGCCATAGCCCAAAGCAACCATTCAGCCCAAGCTAGGATTAGGTTAGTTGAGGGTGAGGCCCGGGGTTTATCAGAAGCTCTTCGGCAAGCCACTTTGGCACGAGAGCAGGCTGAGGTTGATAGGCAGGAAGCGGTTCAGCGTTTACAACAACGTGACGCTGATATCATGAGGCTGGCCGGCGAGATGGAGATCATGCAGCGACGCCACGAGGAGGCAATGGCCGTTATGGCCGAGCGGTACCGTGACCTTTCTGCTAAATTCGTGGAGAGTAGCAACACGCAGGCCCCACGAACTCCAACTAGAGCCCGTCTTGCCTTTCCGGAGATGTCTTTCTCCCCGGATACGAGTCGAAATGATACGGTCCAACAACCCAACACCCCTGTAGTGGAGCCAGTGCTTGGAGAACAAGAGACCCTAGGCACCCCGCTCGTCGAACAGCCGACAGGCGAGAGCGATGCACTCCAAGAGGGTGCAGCCGCCGGCGCACCAGGGGGGGAGGCCAGCACAGGACCTCCCGAAGATCCACAGCCTACTTCAGTAGACCAAAGGGTTGATGAATTGGCTAAGTTGGTTTCCGATCTAGCGAAGTTGGTTGCAGCTAACGCCGCTCACCCTGGGAACACCTCCGCGCCTTCGGGTGCGGCCCCAGGCGCACCAGCAGAAGCACAGCCCGAACAGTCACCACAGGTCCCGACCTTGTACCTAGGAGGCACTACACAAGCCATGGCGCCCCCAGGTTCACCGGGATCAGGCGGATCATCTAGCTCTTCGTCTTCATCAGGTTCCTCATCTAGGTCTGAGCACCCAGCTTGCAGGATGTGTGGCTCCAAGAACCACGCTGAGGAGGACTGTCCCGAGCTCACCTGCAACAGAGGTGGGGGCAAGGATCCGTCGCGTGATGGTGACGGGGCTGCAGCTTCAAGCGCGGCAGCTCCAAAGACCAACGCCGAGCTCGAAGAGGATACCATTAGGGTGAAGTCCCTATCCGATCTATCCTTCCCAAACCCGCCGCAAAACGCAGCACAAGCTAGAGGGTTTGTGAATCAGACGTTGATGGCCATTGGAAAACTTCAGAAGACCCCAGGCGATGAGGTTTACATCTGGGCACAGGAATGCCTTAAGAGGGAACCCGATGCACTTCGAAAGGATGGGCGCTTTCCTCGCCTTGACCGCGAGATCGCCGCTAAGCTCATCAAGGTGTGTCGTCACGGTCGCTTTGGGTTGCTTTTCCAGCAGATGGTCGAGTCTGAGAGGCTCAAGTCGGGTGGCATGCCCAATGGTCGCTGCATGTTGCGCGCCATTTATCGGCACTTCCAGCTGGAACGTGACCGCATGGGAATGTTAGCAGAACGCAACCTTCTGAACATTAAGATTGGAGGGGATGGTATCTCTCATCTGGAGGCATTTCGTGATAAGTATCACTACGTCGCCAATACCATTCCTGTGGAGGATCTACCCAAGGACAGTACGATCTTCAATCATCTGATCGATGAGTTCGATAAGGTTTCTGTTCTTAAGCCTAAGGTAGAGAAGGCAAGGGAGGCGAAGCCAGGTTCCCACCGTCGCACCGCCGCATGGTTGTGGAATCGCGTGGACATTGCAATTGACTTACACCAACAGCGTGTAAATCGACAGGAGTTCGATAAGTCATTGCAACAGAAGCCAGAAGCCCTGACTTCTACCTCGCAGCCTTCAAAGCCCAGTGTGCCAGCGACACCCGCTCCGGGTGCTGCCGCAGGCGCACCGAAGGGTGGAAACACCGACAAGCCGAAGAAGGAAAAGAAGCGGAAGAAGAGGAAAAAGAACAAGGACGAGGACGAACCCGAGGTTGAAGTTCCAGGTGCCCCTGCCCCGAAAGGCAAAGGCAAAGGTAAAGGCGACAAGGGCGGAAAGGGCAACGGCACACCGCGTACCCCGAAGGGTGGTGACACGACGCCTAGATCTGCCCAGGCCAAGAGCGCCAGGAACATGACCCCGGAGGAGAAGGCCAAGACGCCGTGTATGTTTTGGGCGTTTGGGGCGTGCAAGGGTGATCCCTGCCCGTTCCTTCACGACAGCAAAAACAAGTACACCGGTCCTAAGCCCAAGTCCCTCGCAAAACCAGACGCTAAGGCTAAGCCTAAGGCAAAGGCGAAGGCGAACGCCGCAACGGCTCCTTTAGTCAATGCTCTCCCCGCCGAGCTGAACCAGGATGGCAAGATCACCTGGCTCTGGGATACGGCAGCAGGTAGGCACTTGATAGGTCGTCAGGCGCTTTCGTCCAAGGCCCTTTCCTGTGTCACTCGCTCCGAGACGCCTGTGGGTTTTGCCACTGGCGGCGGCGCGCGAGAAGGAACTCACAGCCTAGCGTTTGAAGGCAGTCGCTTGCTTCCTTCAGAAGAGCAGGTTTACGTGCTGAAGGAGTGCCCTCCAGCCTTTTCTGTAGGCAAGGCAGTCCTGGACGAGGGATCACTTTTTGTGTGGGATCCTCGCGAGCATCGTCCATACTTCGTGAAGAAGGAAGATGTGCACCGCTGCAAGCTTCGAGTCCCGCGCAAAGCGAGGATCAATGCGACTAGGGTCGTAGAATATGTCCCTCAATTCGAGGAGACATTGCGCCCGGCAGTAAGAGAGCAGAGCTCAAGCCTGAGTCCCATTACTGCCTCTGCTTCCCCAGCGCCAAGGGATGATGATGCTGTTTCCTTCAGCGATTTCGAGGTCGCCGATCTTGAAGAAGCTGGAGCGAGCTATCCTCGCACAACCTCTGGCGATTACGATTGGGAAGCAGATGTCGTAGAGAAGCATGCAGAGAAGAAGGCTGAAGCGAAACGGCTTTTTCGCGAAGGCGCTGTAGGTGAGACAGCTGCCGGTGAGAGCTCCGAAGAAGAACTCTTTCCTGAACTCTTCAAGGAGAAGTCTGCTAGCACACAGCCGCCTGCCAAAGGTACACCTGCAAAGGAGGCTGCCCCAGGCGCCTCTAGTTCGCGTGAGGGGGCTGCTCCAAGCGCCCCTTCCACAGAGCAACCACCGCTGGTGCCACCTCCTCCAGAGCCTCACTCTAAGACCGAAGAACTTAGAGCCGAAGCCACGTCTGAGAAACACCTTAGGACCCACTTTCCTAAGAATCCCTTTTGCAAGATCTGTCACATCGCCAAGACCACCTCAATGCGTGTGGCTCACAAGCCCGATGCCAAGGCAGATGACATGATTGATGTTCCCACTGCACCGTTTCAACAGCTCGCCACTGATGATGTCATCATGGCCAAAGGTGACGAACACCGAGGCATAGGAACCGGCGGAGTGAAGTCACATCATGTTGTAAGGGATGTTTTCTCAGGGGCTAGAGTTGCGTACCCTATGACTCGTAGGGGTGCTGCCCAGCACGCACGTAACTTTCGGCACTTTATAGGTCTTAGGGCGCACGAGCTGTCGCCAACCTGTCTCATTAAATTAGATGAAGCAGGTGAGTTGATAGTAGCGGCGGAGGAGGTAGGCTTGACCCCGGAACCCTCTCTTCCCAACAGATGGCCTCACAACGCCTTGCTGGAGAGGGATATCCGCGAGGAGAAAGAGTGCTGCCGAGCTATCCACTTACAGAGTGGTTTGCCATACGACATGCATTCTTACTCGTACCCTTACGCGTGCCTTTCCTTGTCCTTCGACAGGAGTGCACCGATAGGGGGGGTCACACAGTGGGAGGCCCTCACAAAGGAGCCCTTCAATGGGAAGAGGGCCTGTTTTGGGCAACTGGTCTGGTACCGCTCTAAAGGTTCTAAGCGTACTCTTGAACCCAACATGTCACCAGGGCTTTTCCTAGGGTGGCGGATAGACGCTGGTATGCGCTATCGCAATGTTGTTAAGGTTCTTGATTACAATGACTTTCGCGGCAAACGCAACACATCTGTTCATGATGTCCCAGAACCTGAGCTGTACATCGAAGACGGTCCGCCCATCTTCCCTGTTGCAAACGCTACCCGTAAGGCGCTAGTCGACGGCTCCACTTTGAGTGCTGCCTCTGGCGCACTGCCCGAGATCCCATTGCGGGAGATTCCCTTTGCTCTTGAAAGCATCGGGCCGCCGGCGCCCAGAACACCTGGCGTTAGGACGGTTTATATCACCGCTGATAGGATTGTTAAGTTCGGGGAAACGCCGGGTTGCTTAGCGTGTAGAGGTAAGGCCACAAAGCACACCGACACTTGCAGAGCACGCTTTGCCGAGCTTGTTAAAGCAGACAAGGAAGAAGCTGCCGCAAGGAGGGCTGCGCTTCGCGCCCTAGGTGAGTCACCCGAGACTCCCGCACCAAGTGTTGCACCAGAGACTCCCTTTCCAAGCGCTGCTCCAGAAACCCCAGCTCCAAGCGTAGCACCAAGCACTCCGGTACCTCCTGCTTCTGCTACCGTGAGCGTTGTTTCAGCAGGCGCTGCCTTGCCACCGTGCACTGCCAGTGCCACGTGTCTTTTGGACACTGTACGCGGAAAGGAAGACCTACCTGTTTTCGGTTTAGCTGCCCCCTCCACACCACGTTTCGGGGAAGACAAAGCACACCTAAGAGGTAACAAGCGGAGTCGAAGGAGAGGGAAGCCTACTAAGCTCACGACTGTCTTCGAGTATGCATGTTCCCAAAACTCAATGTTAGGGCGTGTAAACGAGGAGCTTGGAGTACCACACGTACGCCTCGCCAAAGAGACCTTGGACGTTGAGAACGAGCTTGTAGCTGCCCAACTGCACGAACAGTTTAGGGCGTGTCCGAAGAGTCACCTCTGGGTGTCTCTGCCCTGCACCTCTGGATGCCAATGGCATCGCGTTCAGCTCAAGAGGGGCGGTGGCGAGTATCGCGCACGACTCCTGCAAAAGATTCATAGGTCTAAGAAGTTGTTCGCACAGTTTGCTGAGCATGCTAAGACCGCGCTTGACCTCGGGATTGACGTCACGTTTGAGTGGCCGAGGTATTCCGATTCATGGAAGAGGCCAGACGTTAAGGAGTTCTTTAAGGATCCTAGGTTTAAGGTTGTTGACTTTGATGGTTGTATGTTAGGGGTGTCTGCTTCAGGGGGGCAGCCGGTTAAGAAACCATGGCGCCTCATGACAACATCCACATCTATCGTATCAGCCTTTGAGGGGATCACCTGCAACCATGATCCGAGTGAGCACGTTGAGGCTCGAGGAAAGGATCTTGAACTCACTGGGTTGTACACGCAAGAGATGTGTGAGCGCATTGCCTTTGCCATCAACCCCAGTAGGGCCTTTATCTCGGTACCTGCGATGCCGATCTTACCCACTTCCACAACTTCAGAACACCGTGAAAAGGAGCAGGAACTGAAGCACGTTTCCGCACTCAGCGGATACGAGGACCTAGCCGCAGTAATAGAGTCTGACGAAGAAGCTTCTAAGCTCGTTGAGGAAGTCGTTGACCTCCATGCCCTTATGTGTGCAGTGCATGGCATACCTAAGGAAGCACCTTCCAAAGAGGTGTCCGCAATGGTAACGAAACTTCTCTCTAGAGCGGAAATGTTGTCTTCACCTGAGGCCCTTAATGCGGTCAAGCAGGAAGCTGACGGTCTTCGCGCAGTCCCTGTGTGGGATGAAACGAACCCACAAGAATACGCTAGTGTCCAGGCGCAGGCACGCCGCACAGGCACTAAGGTACACTTCGGTAAGCTAATGAGCATTGCCTCCATCAAGTTTTGGGAGCTTGCCAAGCACCTTCAGAAGGTTAAGGGCCGAATCGTGTATCGAGGTGACTGTGCCAAGGACGAAGAGGGCGCCGCAGCGGTTTACAGAGAGTTAGGTGCAAACCCCACCTCTGTTCAGGGACTTAATGCCTGCTTAGCTTACGGTAGCTTGCCCGGTCATCAGTCCAGTGCCGCAGACGCCGTCAAAGCGTACGTGCAAGCTCTTCTAAAATCCAAGTACCAGACTTGGATAGAGTTGCCGCCTGAACTCCGTCCTTCCTGGTGGCGTGAGTGTTTCGCTCGTCCAGTGGTGCTGCTCTTACGCGCACTATACGGTCACCCGGAAGCAGGCGGACTTTGGGAGAAGCACCTTAAAGGGGTTTTAAGAAGCATGGGTGGACAAGAACTGCCGGAATATCCGGGTAACTTTTGGTTCCCTGAGACTAAGCTCCTTCTTTCCACCTATGTAGATGATCTTACCCTCTCTGGACCACAGGAGGAGCACCAACCGTTTTGGGATGCTTTATGTAAGGTTGTTGATGTAGAACCCCCGGAGCCTGTGTATAGGATCTTAGGCCGCAACCATTGCACTATCAACGCCGAGCCCGAAGGCACCGAGAATGCTGCCCTAGGCGCATTAAAGGGTGCCATGGCGTTTGATATGTTTGATTACGCACAGCAGACAGTAGACCTATACAAGGGCCTTACTGGCCTTAAGACTCTAAAGCATGCTGCCACACCTTTCGCTCCTGAGGCTTCACTTCCAGTAAGTCAAGAGGAGATTGCTGGGGAGCTGGCTCCTAACGCATGTAAGGTGCTGATGAAGGCCCTTTGGCTAGGCAGACTTGCACGTCCTGACTTAGTCAAGCCGATAGGTGACCTAGCGACCAAGGTGCAAAAGTGGTCGAGGAACGACGATAAGAAGCTTCTTCGCTTGATAAGCTATATCGATTCCACGAAGACCCACCGCCTTGTAGGCACTGTGTCGGACGGGCCAAGGGAGCTGCATCTTGCGCTCTACGTCGATGCTGACTTTGCGGGGGAAAGGGATGATGCCAAGTCCACTAGTGGAGGTTTCTTAGTCCTTAAAGGTCCCAACACCTTCTTTCCCTTAGCATGGGTGTCAAAGCGCCAGACTTCTGTGAGCCGAAGCACCACAGAATCTGAGATTGTGTCTCTAGCTCATAGTCTTTTCCAAGAAGCGCTTCCAGCTTTGCAGCTCTGGCAAACGATCCTCGACTACCCCATAAGGTTAGTCATTCATGAGGACAACCAGGCTACGATCCTTGTTGCGAAGAAGGGCTATTCGCCAAAGCTTAGGCACATAGCGCGCACCCACAAGGTCAATTTGGGTTCAATCTCCGAGGTGATTGAGGAGGATGATGTAGATATTGAGTATGTCGATACGAACTTGCAGGCCGCCGACATCTTCACCAAAGCACTTCCACCACAAAAGTGGGACAATGCATTGAAGTTGTTGGGCATGCGCCAGAAACTCCCTGAGGTTTTAGTGGACACGAGACAGCTCAAGACTAAAGCCGGTAGTGGCCCTACCACCTCTTCCACTTCGGGTTCTAGTCCCAAGTAGCGGCGTTCACTTTTGCACAGCTTGCCGGAGGGAGCTGCTTTTAGCGCTCTTCCCGCTAGGGGGGCTGCCATAGGCGCCCGTGTGCTTAGGGGGCTGCTTTAAGCGCCCCATTGTACAGTTCCGTAGTCTGCAGTTGACTCTGGCGAGGGGGGAGTTAAAAGAATACGACCCCAGAGGCCCAGCAGAGCATAGGTTCAGAGGCCCCAAGCTTAAGTAAGCAGAGGGCATGTTTCACTTGACTATGGACGCCACTTTGGCTCAAGATAAAAAGGGGCTTTGCAGTTAGATGCCCTGGTTCTTTAGAGGGTTGGCCGGGTTTAAGTACCTTCCTTCCCTCTTGATTAAACAGTCATGAAAACAAAGAAAACACGCAACATCTCACCAGCATCCCAACCCACAACACAGCAACGACGCCAACATCCACATACTACAAGACGAAAGAGGACACACTCTTCGCATTCAACATCATCAGCGTCACCTACGGCAACGTCACACATGGCTGAGGACGCACACCGATCTCCATCGCGAGATCCTTGGTCTTCTGACTCAATTGCACCTTACGATATTGTGCATCCTACTATTCAGCATAAGCGGTCCAAAACCGCTTGTGCAAAAATGCTGGTACGTGCAGGTTTTAGATGTAGATGCCATTTCAAGATCATGAGTGACTGTCCCAACAAACTCGCTGTTGGATCCTAACACTCAGGACGGATTAGGTCTGCAAGATCCGCTAAGCGTGACAAAAAGCCTGCGCATGCGAGTGTCAGCACGACACCACTTGGTTGTTTCTCCTGAGCACACAGCATGTCCATGTTGTTTTGCATTCCTTGTTCAAGCGTTTGTCGGTTGGTAGCAGCAAAAATATGACAAAGCGAAAGGCTGCCGAGGCCGGCCTTCCATGGTACTCCATGGCAGGACAATGTTTTCGGATGACTGTTGAAATTCCACCCGACCGCATCACCAGAGACAAGCACATGCTCTTACACGTGGTGCTTTGTCTGGGTGACAACGTTCTACAAGCTCGCAAGATCTTCTCCTACCGCATCAAGGAGATCACCGGCAGAACTCCTACAATCCCAGCTTTCTTCTTCGAACAAAACCGTCGACGACTACATGATTGGGATTCAGTCACCACATTAGCCACGTTGAAGCCGGTGCTTTTTGTTAGAACCTGTTCGGATCAGGAAATACGACAATCACCCGATCGCTAGTGACAGCGAGAAAAGTGCGCCATTCACTCCTTTTGCCACGCATCATACCTTTCACTCTACTTGAAGCATGTACGCCCCATTGGGGCTGTGTGTGTGTGAACCTCCCTAGCACATGGGAGCAGAGGGTCACTCCTACACTGTTTGCAATCTTTGCTTTTCAACTCAATCAGACATTAGACATTTACCAAATCAACTGTTGCAGGGGAGTGTGGCACTTGCGTCCTACCACACTCAACGAAGCTGTGGATGCAAGTGGGAAGCGGGACCTGATCAGTCCTGTGTACCTGCACAAAATTGAGCTGGGGCCCCTGTGCCAGCCCGATTAGAAGGCCCCTGTGCCAAGATTAGAGAGTTTTCAGTTGCCACTTTTGGCGGTTGATTCGACAACAAACAAGTTGTACGGTTGCCACAATCTGACAAGCTTTTGCAACATGAACAACATGCCTCTCTTTTTCCTCTTGCACTCGTACTCTTGGCCGAATCCATCAGTGTGTCTGTGCGTGTCTGTCTGTGTCTGTCCGTGTCTGTGTGTGTCTCTGTGTGCGCGCGTGTGTGTCTCTGCGTGTGATTGTGTGTGTGTGTGTGTTGTGTCTCTGTCTCTGTGTGTGTGTCTCCGTGTGCGCGCGTCTATGTGTGGGGAGTGTGTGTGTGTGTGTGTGTGTGTGTTTGTGGGCGTGTGTGTGTGTGTGCGCGGGGGTGCGAGGGCGCGCGTGTGTGGGTGCACGGGGGTGCGTGCATGCGTGCGGCGCGCGCGTGGGTGTGTGGGTGCTGCGTGCATGGGTGTGCATGTTGGTGTGGGCGTTGGTGTGGGCGTGGGCGTGGGTGTGGGCGTGGGTGTAGGTGTAGGTGCTGGGGTGTGTGGGTGTTTGGGGGTGATTGCGGTTGTTGGTGGGGCTGCGGGTGGGGCTGAGGGTGCGCGTGCACGCACGCGCTTGTTGAACATGAATCTATGAACAGTGTCGGCGATGCCTAGATGCTAAAGTTTTGCTGTTGCTTTGGAACTTGTTCAGCCCTTGGCCCTGGTGAGCTTCGTCATGCTTGCGGAACCCGGCAAGCTCAATCTGGCCACTACGACCAGTCACCTTCTTCACATGTCGATTTCGTGTTTTGCTGGGACAATCGTGCTGTCCTGGACACAGCCATGGCAATGATCCTGGCAATTTTTCCAACATTGGGGACTGCGCGCCCAGAGCGGAGTGGTCAAACGAGGGGAAGAATTGTTCGAGCAAGGTTTCACTCGTATGCACCACTGTATCATCTTGGCAGCGCGACAGCAATCATGGATGTGCAGCAGGGTGCCTGCTGTCGTGGTGCAAGTTCCGCACCGCCCTCCCAAAAACTCTCCAAAAGGCTCAGCGACCAAGCAGTCGCGGCTCCTCGACGTTGACGTGCCAGTGGCAGAGGCCGTGCCAGGGTCGGGTTGTTTGGGAGGTTCGGGATGTTTCGGCGTTCGGGGAATCCAGCTTGCTCCGGGATGCTGAGGGGCCGGGAACTATCCCCTAATCCTCCCCATAAAACTTGCAGACTATCTTCGATTCTAACTGTTCCGGCCACAATCGCAGCAGCATTTTGCGGAGTGCGTTAGAGTTTCAGTCTCTGTGCCTAGGGGGTGTAGGGTCTTGGGTCTTTCTAGTGTTCTAGTGAAAGACGGCCGGGTGTCCGGCTTTGTTCGGGGCTCTACTTCATCTCCATGTTCTTCCCCCCACGACCGGGCTTGAATCACAAGCTCTGAGACAAAGCTACTGAACTTCCACCGTAGACTTTCTGGAAGCCTGCTGGATGCCCCCGCGCGCTCGCAGGATGATGGCGCGGAGAGCACCCATCCCAGCGCAGTCGCGGAAAACAAATCCACAGCTGATCATTTCTGGCTCTTGAGGACTCTAGCATTTTAAGGGCTCAGGGTGGAGGGTCTGTAGGATTCTGGTGCCTGGTTCACTCTAGTATCGCGTGTAGGGTTTAGGATGCAGGTTTCAGGATCTGTTTCTTGTTGGATTGAGGTAGTTGGGCTGCGTAAATGAAAAGAGAACACCAACAGTATCAATTAGCAGCTTTAGGATGTCTTTGACGCACATGCAAGTGATGGTCACATCCTCGAATGCAGGTGGTGTTGGGCAGATTCTGTGCGATGCTGAAGCCACTGACAGCGTTTCTTTCCCCGCCCCCACGCATGAAACCTGAAGCCACATCCTTTAGATGCCGGCGGGCTCCGAGGCTGTAAGACAAAAAAAGGCCGGAAGCCTTCACCCAAAGGCTTAAAGCCAAACTCCCAAAGATCCCAAACTGCATTGCCTGAATTTGCCTGTATCCTTGCCGTAGGCTTCTCCCGGATACCCCGGCCCGAGCGCTCACAGCAATGGCCAGCCCCGCCGGCCAAGGGACCATTCATGGAGACTTGACTGAGGTATTCTTTCGCTGTGCTGCTTCATGTTGGGACGGTGATGTTGGTGATCCTGCTGCTGTCGATGGTTATGATGGTCGGAGGCTGTCGACGACGAATAATGTCATTGATTTTGATTTTGACGAGGATGATGATGATCGTCGACGATAGTAGGTTTAGTCGTCGCAGCTGCATGGTGGTGGTCATTGTGGTGCTGGTGCTGCTGCTGGTGCTGGCGGTTGTGGTGGCGGTGGTCGTAGTGGTGGTCGTAGTGGTGGTAGTGATGATGGTAGTGATGATGATGATGATGGTGGTAGTGATGGTGGTGGTGGTGGTGGTGCTGCGGTGCTTTTGGAGATCATTCCTTCTTTATGTGGCAAGTCTTGCGCAAGTCTGTCTAGCAGTGCGGCAGAAGTCAAGAATGGACCCACAGGGCCACAGAAGGCGCACACAAGACGCAGGCACAAGACTGGACCCACGACCAGGCTGTCAATGACGGCATGAATGCGCAAGAATAGTGGCAGAAATGAAGTGCAACGAACATGTATGTCATTTTCTGGGAAGGCCGATGCCGCATCTTCCCGAGAGAAAATGTGATGTGGGGAACACGACAACATGGATCTGTCAAATAACCTGCTCGAGCAGCTCACGTCACATGTCTTTTCGCAAGCGTGCTGCCTCACACCGGAACTGTGACCTGCAGCACGTGCTGCAAGCCTTGTCTGTACAAACCTCAGCCATTGCAACCTCGCGGTGATTTTTGTGGGGATCGACTTGTGGAAGCTCACCGCCTCAGCCCCGCGACAGGCGCGATAGCAGCGCTCCAATGCTCTTGAACATCAGAAATCAGAATCTCAGAATCTAGCATAGATTTTGCTGTGGCCTTGGATTCTCCTGCGCCTCCTGCGAGGGTGACTGCAGAGTCACCAAACCCCACAACATGGACCATGCCCCAGAAGCGTAAGCAGCGTGCAGGCAGCCACGTGGCTGTGCGGGCAAAGGCACGGATTGCGTGGGCGAGTTATTGCTTTTGCCTGGCGTGCTCGCCTGCCTGCCCGCGCCACCGCCCAGACAAATGAGTACACCGACAGCGCCGACGCCATACCATGATACCATGGACTCCTCGCGCGTTGCGCGCGAGACACACACAGACACACACACGCACAGACACACACACACACAGACAGACACACACACACACACACACACACACACACACACACACACACACACACACACACACACACACACACACACACAGACAAACGCACACACAGACACAAGCAGACACAGACACACACAGACACCAGACACAAGCTCACCAGACCACAGACCACACGAGCACACACACACACACACACACACACACACACACACACACACACACACACACACACACAGACACACACAGA